TTTCTGTTATGATCAATTTCCACACCATCAAGCTTGTATCGAATCTCATCGAATATGAACGCGACAAAATTATTTCCCAACACCACATCAGATCCTTCGACAACTCTGTCCTTCGTTATTTTTCCCTCGACATATAGAAAGCTTTCATACGGCAATGTGTACAGATCCTGTTGCTGTACACATGGGTATTCTTATCTCACCGCTGTACCCGAACATTGTATTGGCGAATGGGTTGTACGCATGAGTCTCAATCTTGACGATGCGATCGTCGAAGATTGGCTCGTCTTCGATGTTTAGGATATCAGTCATTTCACAAGTTGCGCACCGCGAATCCTAAAGTTTGTAAAAATTTAACGTTCGACACGTTGAGTTTCTTCCTCTTCTTGATGCAACCGGATGAGCGAGTATTGTCGATCGATGTTTTTTTTGTAAAAGATGCGTTATCTCTCTGCGTATGCTTCACTTCGTTCAACACGAGCATCTCAAATGTCACGTTATCGCTGTCGCCGTCGTATGTGCAATCTAATGATGATCTCTTCTCCTCTGAAATCGAGCAATCGTCCGTTCTGATCAACAATGCGTATCATTAGCTCCGTAATGCTCCATACGATGACTGGTAGGTAAATGATCTGCATCGGCCTTTCCGATATCTTATATCCTGGCGGCAGGCTCGGCGAAAATTCGTGTATCGTGTGCACACTTTTGTCGTTGCTATACGCGTCTGCGGTCACGTTGCACTCTACACGGATAATGTTTACGTTCATTATGTTGATCGATACGTCCGATTCATGCCACCTTCGCGGTTGCAGTACACGCTTTGAGAAACCCAGTAGCGATCCAATGTTATTGACTTGTTAAAGTTTATTTTGTAGGCGCATTTAATCTCATATCTCATCGTGTTGTAATTTGCGCAGAGCACTGTTGGGTATTCTCCTCGTCATTGCCGCGCGCGGTATCATCATCGGGCGCGTTGCGTCGCGTCGCGGTCGTTTCCGTAAAATCTCACATTTCAAAAATTCATTTATGGTCTGCAGTTCATACGACCCCTCGGGAATCGTAATTTCTGCGTCGTCTTTGCCAAAATAAAATGTATTGTTCGAAGTGTTTACATTATTGTGTGATAAGTTTCCAAAATTGTTAGACCAAGCTCGTAGTCATCGTCACTCAAATCTATGGCTGGAAAATAATTTGCCGCGAGAACGCTGCTCTTCCCGCTCAGCGTAAGCGTCAGCGACATGTTGGAAAAAATGTTCAACGAATACTGAGACGTCGCGGCATTTTATCGGACTTTATAAATTCACGCGCGTCGACCGTTTGGAAAAACCACAAGCACAACTGTCTGCAGACATTCTGATCGTACATCTGATAGGACGTTCGATTGTACTCTATCATAACACTGTCTCCGAAATGTGGTACCAGTTCCTGGGGCGATCGAAGAACCGAAACTGTCGAAATATATGACACAATCGTTTCTCTTTGCGTACGCTACTCAATGAGTGCCGAGGCTCATCGTGTCGTCCAAATTTACGATACCGCTCTCTTTTCGACACACGCTGCTAATCGATAATGCGTCACGCCTCTGAAGTATGGTACGCGCATACGCTTCGTCAGCTGGTCCAATTGTATGTTGGTAGTTACACCCGTAGGTATTTTTATTGTCTCTTTGGCGTTTTTTTTTCTTTTTTCTTTTTTCGCTGTTATGCCTCGTCCGCCTTTGTACAGAGCGAGATATAGTCTCCGTCCGTATTTGTACGGAGCGAGATACAGTCCCTGTCCGCGCGTTTCCATCACGCGAGTGTGACGTTGCAGTGGATTCGAGAGAATACATGTATATGTGTATATTGTAATATACGTATATATGTGTATCATTGTATTGTTAGTTGTGTTATTCTAAACACGTTATTTGCGATAAATATCATCACATGCCTCGGTAGTCGAAGGGATAAGATGCCTGTCCGATAAAGATCCAGGTTCGATTCCTGGCTGATGTGGTATTTTTTCGCAAAATAATTACGAGTTTTCACGACTGGTTCGTGATTGGGTTCCGCCCGACGCACGCCCTCTCTTCTTATTTCCTCGAGCTGACGTTGCGCAGCTTTCCTGTCGTTTTTCGCCACGCTGGCCACTCCGCCGATTAAGGACCCGAGAGCGTCCAAAATTGGCAGAATCGTAACACTCGTTTCGCCGTTGGAAGTATTCATTTCTTTTTTTGCCGGCTTTTTTTTTCGCTTTCATACCTATGCCGATCTTGGTCTTGGCTTTCATCTCTGTCTGTGCGGCTGCAGCTGCAGCTTTCTCGCTCAGAGCCGAATCTCTCGCGATGACGCGTCCTAGGGCTTTATCGGCGAGTACCTTGTCCGCTGCGTGTCTGTCGGTGAGATCGTTACTCTGAGAATACGTAATGTTGTGTTCACGTCATGTCGCGTCCAGTGGATTTATGCCCGATTTCACCTCTGACTTAATCGCTTCTTCAGCCGAGTATCCGGATCGCAAAACTGATAGCCGGGGATATATAATTCGAAAGAAGCGCTTTTATCGCTCGATTGAACAGACCTCCAATGTAGCCTTCGTTTGACGCTGCTGCTGACATACGTTACAATCTTTTATCTTCGGTGTGGAACCGTCGATGTGCGTGCGTTGCCACGGTTGGTTATAATGCTTGACGCAGCGATGATAGGTTCGAACCTCCAAATCCGTCTTTATATGTTCCGGAAACTTGTTCCACACTTGGTCGCCGCGTAACAGTACGACCTTCGATATATATTGCAACTGCTCAGCGCTTAAGTCCCGAATAGCGGAGAGATGCGACAGCGCGAGATACATTTTTGCAACTGAGCGATTCACAGTTTCGCGCGCCTATAAATAGGCGTTCAATCGAAGCCTAGATAACGCAGTGCGAACATGAAATTCGTACGGCAGTCACTGATACGCATCACGAACTGCGACGAGAAAGCGCAAATGATGGAGGACATCACGACGGAGCGCAAGCATGCTGAAATGTTATCGAATACTATACGCGCCATCATTTGCGGATCGAATTGCGATAAAACCAACGTTCTCATAAGCTTGCTCGAGAGTCCGCATGGTGTACGTTTCGAGAACGTGTACTCGAAATCGTTGCAACAATCAAAATATCGATATCTCGAAATTTTGTTGACATCGATCGACGAAATCGGCTACTTTACATTCTCCAACAACAGTGACGTCATTCCACCGAGCGAGGCACATCCCAAATCGATCTTTGTCTTCGATATTGCGTGCAATAAGCAAAATGCGATGAGAGAATACTTCTCAATGGGCCATTACTCGAATGTCGATTGCTTCTATCTCTGTCAGACGTAGGATACCTAAACATCTGATATACGACAATGCGAACCTGCTGATCCTATTCAAACAAGATGGTACCAACTTGAAACATGTTTACAACGATCACGTGAATACCGATATGTTATACGATGAATTCTGTGCGTTATGCCGCAATTGTTGGCAGCGCGAGTATGGATTTCTAGTGATAGATGAGAACAGTCCGCTTATCAATGGGCGATACAGAAAAGAATTTAACGCGAATTTAATTTAAGAATTTCGCGGTACCATAGGGATTAATCGATGTCGATACGTCAAGCAACATGAATAACACCAAAGATCGCGAGAAAATAGCGAAACAGATTGCGAAAACGAGCGATTCGATTTGCAAAAAATATCGCGCTTTGAAAACTGGTAAAATAGATGAAGAGGTAGCGTTGGAGAGACGTTTCAAGCCCATCATCGAACCTCTAAAACAGATTGTCGAGGAAACACATCCATTAAAAATATATATGTTGCAAAAGATATCAGTATTAAGAAAAAAAGAAACGTGAAGACAGCGATGATGACGATGACGATGACGGTACTACTACTACTACTAACAGGGATTCATATTGGACGGATGTTGAATGATTGAAATTATCGCCGCAATCTAAAAAGCATACAAAAAAATTGAACGCCACGTCAGATTCATTCACGTTCGATTCTACATCGATAGAACCATCGAAAGAATTACCGAAAGAACTATCTAAAGAACCGAAATACCGTCGTTTGTGCAAAACGAAGATGTTTTTGAAACAGACGTTAATGAACCGTCACCGAAAACAACCATCAAACAGACTCTGCAAACGCAAAGAGGAAACCGCGAGGTGCTTCATGGTCAGTTAGGATCGTTTTAACATTGGGACGAAAGTACGTGGGCCTTCTTCTCAGTGACGATATAGATAAAGCGATCGATAATGTATACGGTATCTATTTCGACAAAAGTGATACGATGCTCGGTGACAAAAAGTTTGACGTTGACTCCATAATTATAGACAATGTGAGATACAATGGTACACCAGGATTATACGAATTGATCTTCAAGAGACTTCCCAATGAGGCTATATTCATCGAAGATGACAAACAAACGTATAAAAGTATACTGTTAACAACGAATGCTCATAGACGTGGTCACAGCGCCCATAATCCCATCATGGCCAACAAGGGATACAAATATATTAACATCATCGCTCCGCTCGTATTTACATATAAGAAAAGCGATAAAAAGGGTGCACGTATTGGCAATATACTATCCATCATGAAATTAAACGACAACAAGATCAATTACGTGCATTGGACGATCCCAAGCTGATGGATCGACTCCGATTACTCGACGCTTCGCACCGAGCTGTTAACAACGCTTACGACAACGAGATGCTGTCGATCATCGAGAAATTTCGCGAAGCTGGCATTATTATTTTAAATTAATCGCGTATCGACGAAACGAGCCAGTCGATTGACGTCAGGAAAAAACAATTTTAAATTGTTGTCTTATTTACTATTAAATATTGTCGAAACATGAGATCCGATGAATATGAAAAAAATGTTAGCTCCGAGAGGCGATGACTCGTTGAGGAATTGCAGGCTCCGGCGAGGAGAAATTTTCCGCGAAGACGTGTCATAATTCGAGGATACGATGATCTGATATCGTCGAGATGCGTCCGTACTCGAGTTTCAACAGAGATCATAACTACATACTCACCATCATCGATGCGAGCAAGTACGCCTGGGTCGTATCGCTCAAGAGCAAGGTCGGAAGCGAGACGGCTAACGCTATCGCTAAGATAATTCGAGAGAGCGGAAGATGCCCGAGAAACTTGCAAACGGATATAGGAAAGGAGTTTTACAATGCCGATGTGCAGAAACTCTTGAAAAAACACAACGTTAATCATTATTCCACATATATGGTGAAGGCATATCGCTCGATCGTCGAGCGATTCAATCGCACTTTTAAGAACGACATGTGGAAGATGTTTATGCTCAATGACACTTACAAATGGGTCGACGCGCTATCTCGTCTCGTGTCAGATTACACCGCGCGCAAGCATCGCACTATCGGCATGCGATTCGCTGACGTAACTCCCCCGATCGTCAAAAGACTCTTGGACGGTGTACAGCACGACAAAGATCGCAAATCCAGCAAAATTCAAAGTAGGCCATTCGATACGCGTGAACAAGTACAAGACAGTTTTCGAAAAAGGACAGTTTACACGCCAAATTGGATCACCGAGGTGTTTAAGATCGTTAAAGTGCAGCATACTAATCCTGTAACATATCTGAGGATTATCGCAGAAAAGCCGTCGCTGGAGCTCTACGAGCACGAGTTGCATCGCGCGACTCATCCGGACGCGTATCTCGTGGAGAAAGTACTGCGCAAGAAAGGTTTACGTCAAGTGGTTGGGATTCGATGGATCGCACAATTCGTGGATAAACAAAAGCAGTGTGATTTAATTCATTTTTTTTATTTTTACAATGTATAAAAAAATATACAATGTATAAATGTATATAAAGAGTCTTTTTTTCCATTACATCTTCGTACATACGTACATACGTACATACGTACATACGTACATACATATATATAAACTGTATAAAAAAATATAAAAATATATGTACATTGCATATACATGTATATTACAATGGAATCCGCTAATGTCTCCACGGTAACGTTTCCGTTACGGTCGAATCCGATATGATATATCGATATTTGTCATCGTGCGGACTCAGAGCAATTTTCGACTCGGACACCGT